TGTGATTGTTCCTTTCTGTTTACTTGTCCTATTCTAATGTGTTCGTTTTTGTTTTATCTCATTTTATATTATTATTATATTATGTGTATTATATAGTTATCCTTTATATGCCTTTTTGCTTTCTAATGAGAGATAGGAAGGGGCAGATCCAAATGGAAGGAGAGGTGGGGAGGGACTGGAAAAAGTAGATGGAAGGGAAATCATCATCAGGATATATTATGTGGGAAAAAACCCTATTGTCAACAAAAAGAAAATTATGACTGTAATTTAATGTTATATATCAATATCAGGCATACAGGGTGTTACATCTAAAAATCAAAGGTACAGATCAGCGATGCGTTTGCCCACGTTTCTCATTATGCTCCAGCAAATATATGGGCATTCTGTCCTAACTTACAATTTTAAAATCATTGTGACTAACAAATGTTGTGAGTTAAAATGTGTTAGATAAAGCATTAAACAAATGTCTTAAGACACTATGTTGAATTTGCCATTTTTTTCTTTAAGAAGACAAAGTTAGCTGTGCACTTATAAAGACAAAATTTTGTGGCAGATGAAATCAAAATGAGAATGATTAGATACATCTTGGTGTGACAATCTCAGTTGGTTCCTGGGTGAATTTCATTCTATTTTGCCTGACATCAAGATTTCAGTGCACATGGCTCATTAGTGCTTTGTGGGTACTTCTGTAATGGGAATTTATTACACTTGCTGGTGACAGAAGCTGCCCTCTGAAGAATTGCTTTCTGACCTCCTCTTTCAAACCACAACACCTGCTGAATGGGATGGCCTGTGCTTGCTTTTCCTCAGTCCCCACACAGACACTAGGAGTTTTTCTGTGTGCTAGAGAACAGTGCTGAAAGGCGTTGGCAGGAAGGCTTTTTCAGCAGCCTGCCTGTCGAACTGCATGGATCAACAATTTCTCAATTAGAAGAAGATAGACGAGAAGATAAAGTATTTGGTGGCTGCGATGCTTCAGCAGCAGCTGAGGAAGATTTGAGGAACATCTGGCCAGAATCTATTTCTTTTTAGGTAAGCACTCCTTTTTACAACCGGCATACACAAAGCATGAAATTGGCTTATCCCCACCTCCCTGCAACAGGGAAGAGGCTCGGATTTATCACTCCTATGATGCAGGTATTCAAACAGTGGGGATGTCATGAGGCATGGCCACTGAAGCCTCTCCAAAGGCTTGAGGCTATTCTCAAAGTTATCATTTGTCAGCTATATTGGGCTTGTTTTTTTTTTTTTTTTTTTAAGACTCTATCTGGTTTGTTGGTGTATATACATATATCTGAAAAAATAGAATTCAGTTAGTGATTATTCTGGATTACCTTTTCAATGAAATTTGTGTCTGAGCAGTGGGTATTATTAATACTAAATTTCTCTTCAAATTTTGAAATAAGTACTTTTCATACCTAACTCATTCTCTTGCTTTACTAATTTAATAATGCCTGCCACTTTAGGCAATAAAGGCAATTGTTTTTCCATTTCCAGCTTCATGTATGTGATCACAGTAGCTTGAAACCAAGGAGCTGCATTGTTGATTTAATATGAAAGAATGTAGCTGACAGATTTCCTGATTCTCACTGATCAAACCAATAACAAGTTGTTTCCTTAAGTGTGTACTTAGTATGGGCAGGTGTGCATGCCTTCTCAGTGGGGAATGAGCACACACATGCATGCATACATGCATTTGGAGGACAGAAGTTAACCTCAGGTATCATGCCTCAGGAACCCTCCATCATGGTTTTTTTTTTTTTTTTTTTGAGACAAACTCTCTCTCACTGGGACCCAGGACTTTCAGATTAGGCTACATTGTCCGTCTTGCTTAGCCACCTGTGTCAACCACCTCAATGCTGAGACCATGAGCATTTGTTACCAGGATGTGCTTCTTCACTTGAGAGCTGAGGATCAAACTCCAGTCTCCTGATGGCCCTATGAGCATTTTGCCAATTGCTTTATTGCCTCAGCCTCTGCTTGTTATTTTTTAAAGGTATATGAATGCGGTACTAAAGGGGAACTGAATTCAAATCAGACTCATTCAGTTCATGGGAAAATATTAATATGTGGGCCATTTCATGTAATGATGTTGCTTATGATATATAATGTTGTATTTAGATTATTATCCATAAAAGAATACACTGAAATCCACCTCAATTTATGCAACATACACTAGTCATATTTATTCTGTCACATTCAAAGTGCTCTTAGTGTTCATCTATAATAAATATGCTTTCAAACTAATGTATACATGAGAGAAAAATGTTCAAATGCAGGATTTCCAATGGACTGATGTACTCCCACACATAGAAGCTATCCTTCAGTATAGTCATGCAAATCAGATAATTTACATATATTTCTGTATTTTTTCATTATCTTTAGGTATTTAAATATTTGTGGGTTTCAGCTATGGCTTCAAATTTGATCTTGTAATAAATACAGACTATTATTTATAGAAGGCTTTCTTTAATACAAAGGAAGGAAATGTTTCTACAAACTTTCTGCATTCTAGAAGGGGTTGGGAATAGTCGTAGACTCCTACAGAGTTAAAACTAGTCCAGAAGCAAAGAAAGGCTTAGTACATTCTGAGGAATTCAGGAGACAGTTAAGCTTCTCTGTTATCTTTAGGTATGCTATATATTTTCACTAATATAACTAAGACCAAAACTGTATTAAAACAACCTGGAGTTTTGAGATGTTGGGTTAGAAATGCCAGGATCCATCTTTTCACCTGTACATACACTGTACACAGTCAGGACACATGATTCAGAAGACACTGTTGCTATGTATTAGCCACTAACTTTCTTACCTTCTTATTTCCATAGGACCCTGCTTGTCCTGGGCCATTGTTCTATTCATTAGCATTGCCCTGGAAGAGGACCAATCCAAGAAGAGGGGGGATCAAATAATTTACCTTTGCTATCATTATTTCCTTTTTAAAATAAAGATGTCTAAGAGATTCCCAATGCCTTAGAAGAATGAAGTGTGGATTTTTACAGTATTAGAGTGGTTTAGCAGGCATGCTGAGAACTAATTAGAAGGTGGTCAGGCAACCTCAGACCTCTGGAACACACATTAGCACTGTCACTAGGCTCAGTAACTCTGGGGTTGGATGTATGGACTTCAGGGCCTGCTGTATACAGAACTGCATCCAGTAAAGAAAATGAGAATGAATCTCTCTATAATAGTTTGGGGAGTTTCAATAAATGTTTCTTTTGTGCAACCAGTTCTAAAATTATTTTTTCAGAATATATGGCAAAAGATAACTAGCTCTACATCTATAATTTTAAGTTTTGTTCACAAGTTTAGCTAAAATAAAGAAGACACATGTATTCATATGCAAGTTTAACTTAAATAAAGAATGAGTATATAAGGATAGGTAAGTCTAATATAAATAGAAGATACTGACAGAATTCCAACTCAAAATCAAGGAGTACAGCCACGAAGTTCTAAAGCATGCTAGTAAGATGCTCTCATAGACCTTCTTTATTTCCTTTTCAAAGATACCTCAGCCGAATCCTCCCAGCCCCTCCAGGACAGCTCGGTTGTTTTCCAGTGTCAAAAAAAAGCTAAAAGAAATAAAGGAACGTCGGTTTGAAAGATGGAAACTAAGGGGGCATGTGATTAATTAAACCTTGAAGGCAAGAGGAAATCTAAAACACCTTTTAAGACCCTTTTAGGACTCCAAGAGCAAGGAAGCCAGGTAGTACCACTTCAAGTATTTGACAAGGAACAACTCTCTGGAGAGCCACTTTTGCTAAGTTTAGGATTAAAAACAAAAGTTGTCCCCATGCAGATTGCTGTATGTTTTGTTGGTGCTAAACCGCAGATGATGGCTTCCAAACCTGGGCTGTCCTTGTTGGAGGGCATGACGCGCCATAGATTTTTATTTTCACGAAACACACTCCCAAAGGCTTGTGGCCTTCCAGACAGCAGCTGGTGCTGGGCAGAGGCATAGCCTCGGGCTTGAGAAGCTACTGCCTACCGCTCCTCTCCACTGTGCTCTTGGCTGCACATTCCTGGCAGCAAGGGCCAGTACCACAGCATAAGCTTCCCGATTGGAGTAGAAGCTGTTCCCTTCTGGAAGGACCTTGGGGGCTAGCAACTGGAGGTTGCTCTGCGGATTTTAGGCATCCAGGAGCTAGTCTGAAGGAAGGAGGGGCTAGATTTGGAGGAGAGCCGGCGCCTCTTAAAACTCTTGGTGCCTAATATGAGTGTGATAGTGGCCAAATACAGCAGAGGGAGATTATCTCATTTTGAATATCCAGGACTTTTGGATGCGCCAGAGATGTGTACAGCAACTGTCGATTTGGCAGCAGACTGGACTCGATCGGTCAATTGCAATTCCTTCCCCACTACAAGCTTACCTCCCCCAGAGCTGTGCTCAGACTGTCCTCAGCCTCCAGGTGGGAGGGAGCTGAGGGAGAGGGAATCAAAAGTCCGCTTGCTTTTGCTCTCCACTGGTGGCAGATACGCAGCTGGTTGGTCCTAAGCAGGTTGGTATTGGAGGGGGAAAGCCTGCACTGCTTAGCATCTTTGCTGGCTTGGGGCGGATGTTGCTCAAAGGATTTAGAGAAGAGGTTGGGAGTAGAGTTCTGTGGATTATTGGTGGAAGAACATGATGTGAGGAGCCACATGCTTAACCAGCCACCGCCCGTTGCCCCTGGGAGAAGAGAGGGTGAAGAGGGCGTGGAGGCAGAGGCCGCCCAGCAGCGCAAGGAGCGCATTGTGGCCAGGGGGCTGTCCCTTTAAGCGCTCCAGAGGGGCTGGGGCCAGAGGGCGGCGAGCGCGTTGCCATGACACCAGGGCTGCGGGGGCTGCAGGACCGCTGGGATCGCTGGTCTCCAGTTGTCTCAGGCAATGCAGGGGCTGCGCAGCTCTTGGGCTACAACGCCTGGGGTTGGGTTGGCCAGCCACTACTAGAGCGTGCTGCTGCTGCCTGTGTCGTCTGCTGGGGTCGAGCTGCTGCCGCGCCCTCCACTGCAAGAGACACTTCGCAGTCCTCGAGAGCGAGCCCGGAACTTGCAACTTCTGCCTAGCGAGCCCAACTTCTGCGCGGGATTCGGACTTGCAGATCCCGAGCGGCGCACAGCGCGCAGTCGGGGCGGTGGCCCCGCAGACTCAGCCTCACCGAGATGACCTCCCCACTGTGGTTCTGGTGCTTCTTCGTCTGGGCGGTCGACCGCTGGCCGCCAGGAAGCGCCCTACAGCTCCAGCCCGGCATGTAAGTGGCGCCCGCCGTTCTGGAAAGCGTGCGGACAGCAGCTGAGGTCCGTGCGCCCCCGCCCTTCCTAAGCGATACTATTGCAAAGGTAGAGACTAGGTCTCTCCCGGAAGCGGTGGAGGGAAGGGGTGCTGCCAGGCACTAGGCATGAGAACTTGAAGATGTCACTGACCAGCTATGGGGCAGGAACGTTATCACTCACTAGAGCTCAGGGAGCGCCACCGCCCAGCAGAGCTAGTGTCACTGAGGGAGGGTCCAGGGCTTTCAAGCTGATATTTTCCAAGCACCTGACAGACCCCTCCACCCGAGTTTGAGTGTATATTTCATATTGGGGAGTAACTGCTCACTTTCTACAAGGCTTTTGCATGAAAACCCGTCGAAAGGGAAATAATGTTGACTTTTTTTTAAAAGAATTCATTGTGTTTGTTCGCGCGCGCGCGTGCGCGCGCGCAGACACACACACACACACACACACACACACACACTCCCTCCCTCCCTTTGGGGGAGGTATGATTAAGTTCAAAGAATGGGCTGTTTCAAAAATCTGATGAGAGAGGCAAGGAGCCAGCAATGCATGTGTAGGCAGTTGAGGAGAGGCACTTGTGTGGTTAGTTGGACAGTTAGGAGGATGGGGCACAGGGGGATTCCTTCTGCATTAGAAATGGGTAAGACTAGGAAATATCTGTTCTTGGTCACCATGTGGCGCGCTGGAAGGAGTTCTGAGATGTCTAATAGCCTGGGCTCCTCAACTGGCTGGAGAAGTTTTGCCAGGTATTACTTTACATCAGTCTGCTGGAGAAAGTCGACTCTAACTCTGCTTTTCTTGCTTGGCTACTGGGCAGTTAAGAGCAGACAGCAGAACCCTTTGAACAGATCTGCATTTCCTCTTCTTTGCTTTTCTGCGCTATGAATATTGTATAATAGAAAAAGTGGTTTGGAAAAATATCCTGAAGCCAATCAAACCTTTTCCAAGCTTCACTTCTTCCTGTAGAAAAAATAGCGTTTGGTGTTCATGTTACATTTCAACATTTCGTCCTCTGTGAAATTCAGTCAACTACCCAGTATGGCACAGTCACCAATTATGAACAGGGCCAGGGTGTCACTGTATACTGTATCTCAAACTTTGACTACATAGTGACTAAATGTGTATTCTTCTGACATTGGAGGAATTTCTGTGAGTTTGATTTCTCTGGAATTGGTAAGAGTTGCATTGTTTATTTTGAGGAGGTAAATTTAAACTCTCTCTCTCTAATCCCAGAAAACATCCCTCTGGGTAGCCTATGCATGTGAAAGCCTTTATCTTACAATGCTTTACAGCCAACTTGTTTTAGTGATATTACTGCTAAAGTGAACCCTGGGTTGCCTTGTCTTGTTCACCCATGAACACTGGACTGGACAAGCCCAGTTGGAAGACACACTCCACTCTTATATGACAGTATTCATCTTCTTTCACTGTTGACACTTTGGCTTAGAAAAATGACATTGCAATTTAAAAAAGAAAGGAAGGAAGAAAGAAAGGATCGTATTTCATTTATATATCAGATGAGATAATGTCTGATATTAAAACCAATATAAATTCTTTAAAGCTTTAATAGAGATGTGTTTTTCAAGGAATTGCTAAACTCACTCTGATGATTTTTAGTACTTTATGGCAGGATGGATCCTGTCATATTAGTTTGTAGTCCTTTCTGGTGCTGGAGTTCATTCGTAAGGAACTATAGTAGGATCTATTGCCAATTTTCTTTGCAATTCTTGGCATGTAGAATACAGCCACATATAACATTTGGCTACTACACACCTGCCTATTTGTTAAATGTGAGAGAATTTTTCCTGAGAGTGTTAGTGACCTCTGAGGTCTATTACTAGTGGAGGCAGTCTTCCAAGGAAGTAAAGACCTCTGAAAAGTATGCCATCCTACAGACCCACACTTACAGGTCATCAGTGTAGTGAAGAGTTGTATGTATCTTGTCTTAAAGGATTAAGTGAAAACAAGGGCATCTAACCAAAAGTCACATTTGCATACATGTTAAATTGATGATTGTATTTCTCAGAAGTGAAACTCGTTTAGAAAATTCAGTAGTGAGATGGAAGATGTGTGTCATGGATTTACCGATTCTCGTGATGATTGATCAGTCTGGTGGTTTTGTTTGATCACAATTTGGAAACTTTGATGACTAATGTGAGGCTGATTCAGAAAGTCAGCTCTCAGCAATCATTGTGTGTGTGAGCAGCTATTACAAGCATGGCTAATAGTCAACCCTTGGATTCTTACTTAGACACCAGATGACTTCTAGCTATTTTGCATTTACCAGTCCCATGAGTGAGATGGGCAGTTCTCTCATGCCCACTAACAAGGAAGAGATGTGTGGCTCAGTTGAGATTTGCACAGCCAGATATAAACCCAGATACTTTGACTGCATAGTGAGGATTCTTCCTTTCCTTTCTTCTTTTTCTTTCTGTTTCATAAGGAGTCACATGCAGTCCTTGCTAGATTCATCTCAACCACCAAGTAGCTGAAAGTGTCCTTGAAGTCCTGATCTTCCTGTCTCCACCACTCAAGTACTGAGATGATAAGCAGACCTCTACCATCACACCACACCTAGTTTCAAAGTTGGGGTTTAACTATTCCAGAACATCCAGGCCTAAACTGTGTGTGTGTGTGTGTGTGTGTGTGTGTGTGTGTGTGTGTGTGATGTTTGTTTTAATTTCCTCATATTTTCTCAGTGGATTGAATCTCATATCTTTAACCTAGAGAATGTCAGCCTCTTCTGGGTTGCAACAACTCTGGGTTCTATGGGCATCCGTACTCCACAGTGCTAATTGTCCCACAATGTATGTGGATGTTATAAATGTTCTCTGCTTACTGAAGACTCTATGTGAGAATTTCCTGACTCCTGCTTGGTGATGGCCTTAAGATGTTTTGTTTATGTGTTTGTTTGTTTGATAAGACTATATCATGCTATAGACCTGGCTGGCTTTGAACTCTCAACAGTCCTCCTGCCTCAGCCTTATGAGTGCTATAATTACTGGTATGAGTCACATGGTAATGACATTTTGATAAGTCTATATTGATGAGTTTACATGTTTTTCACAGGATTAAACATGAGGAGTAAATAAATTCTTTTCAGATCTTTGAGGCATCAAAAGACAAGTTGTACATTATATTAAAATATAGCGTTTGTGATATACTTTTGTGAACACTTGCATAATAATGAAATGAAAATAGTGAGCATGGAGATGTAAGGAGTCTTTCTCTGCTGCAGCAGCTAGCTTCCAAATAATGACACACAGAGACTTCATATGAATTTTGAAAGATAGACCTTAGCTTAGGCTTGTCCCACTAGCTACTAGAACTTAAATTAATTTGGTTTTATTAATCTATATTTTTACCATGTGGCTTTTTACTTTTATAATTTCTATAAATTTGACTCCCCACATCTCCGTAGCATATATCTCCCACAAAGCACATCCTTCTACTCCACCAGAATAGAAAAAGCCTGGATATTCAAAGGCCCTCCTTACTATTTCCAGTGTGTCTCTCTATTCTTTCCAGATGTCCTCTGATGCTCTATGATTACTATCTGTCACCTAGTTGCTAACTCAGCCTCATGACCTAATGTTAACTTTATTTAAATAATGCAAATACAGACTTGGTTTCACAGTGTGATTGAATATCCTCTGACATGGAGGTACTGTAGGGATCAGGTTGGAATTAAATAGAGCTAGCCATCTAAGTTATTGGAACTTGGGGTAGTTATGTTTGTATAACACCTGAGTGGGGAGACTTGAAGAAGGCAAGGTCGGTGAGTGACCGGGCAGTCTCTTAAACTGTATGGGATATCTCATATCCATGCTCTAATATGGGCATCTTACATAGGCAATTCTGACACAGAATTCAAAACATGGTACATAGTTTTGCATCCACATGTATTAGAAGTTTTGCTGTGTAGTGAGAAAACACCTATATAAATAGTAAAGGCAGAAAAGTTTGCATGGCTCATAGTGTCATGAATTTCAGTACATGATTTTTTTTTTTTTTGGCCATTTGTGGGCTATGATGAGACAGAACACCATCATGGCTGATGGTGTGGTAGAGCAAAGTCACCCAACTTAGTGTAGACGAGAAGCAGGGGGGTTGGTGGCAGGGGGGGGACTAGCTATATTTTTCCAGGGTGTGCCCTCTGACCTAGTTTTTTTCAACTAGATCACCTCCCACTGATGCCATTAAATTGGGATTTTATCAGGGATTTAGCTATTGACTAGGTCATTGTCCTCAGGTGCCAATCATGTCTCTAAATGTTCACCACTGAGCACTGTAATTCAGATAAACCTTCTGAGAGGACATTTCATATACGATCCATAATACAATCTCTGTCTACTACAGATTTTCAGAAATTTCTTCTACAGCTGATGTGATGGAGGAATGTCTTTCTGTATGCTGTAAATATATATATTTCTCTTATTGGTTGATGAATAAAGCTGTTTTTGTCCAGTGGACAGGCAGGGTTTAGCCAGGTGGATAGAGAAAGAGAATAGGTGGATTCAAGAAGATGCTTTGTAGCTACTGGGGAACTAGGACTCCCAGTCATTCTCCAGTAAGCCAAAACCACATGGAGATATATAGATTAATGGAAATCGGTTAATAATTAAGAGATAACTAGCTGATAAGAAGCCTTAGCCACCACCCAAACAGTTTATGATTAATATGAATCTCTGTGTATTTATTTGGGACTAAATAGCTGAGGGACTGGATGGGACAGAAAATTTCATGGACACTGATGTGGAAACCTAGAGCCAAAATGGGAGGGGGTACAAAAGTCAAGTAATTTAGAACCTGCGAAGTTTCATGGCCTAGGAGCTGTGGGGTCACCTTCAAGTCCCTTCTCTAGAGCCCTGTTTCTATTACTATGCTCCCTGGTGGTCCCTCTACTATTTTCATCTCTGTTCGGTATATTTAAACTATACCCGCTCTGATCTTTCCACTAGATCTAAATCTGTTT